AAAAATAAAACTTTATTTGAATTCAAACTAATAAATAATAAATTATAATTTCTACATTAATTTTCAATATATATCGGCTGCAAACATAATTTGTATTCAAATCAGAAGTGTCACCCTAAAAAATAAAGACTTGGTTTAAATTTGAAAAGGTCTCACTAGCATACAAGTCATTGTTTTTTACTCTCTTATAAGAGTTTCAAAGGCCTCCAACGCTTGATTTGTCCGTGCAAAAGAATTTTTATGAAGGTATTAGTGAGGGGGGCAGCAATGGTTGCATAATTTTTGTACAAATTGGTGATAGTATATCACGAGACCTACAAATTTGTGTAGGCTGCAGCGTGTAGTAGGTACTAAGCCTCTGCAACATGGCTGTAATCTTACCGTCATTCGCTATTACCGCTTTGGCAAAAATAACATGCAATTCTTCTCATAGTTCATCAATAACCAGGATTAAATTTTTCCTTCATTGTCTTTGCATTGAGAATGATATTTGAAACGACATAGAACTGCCAACACCCATATACTTTTCTTAATAATAGAGTAGAGTAGAGAAGGGGGATTGAGATGGTTGAATTTACCTTTTCTAGCATCCTTTGGCGCTCGTTCTCATTCTCATCTTTCTGAGATGGGAATATCAACAAGGTTAGATTGCCATAGAATCAATTTCAATCTCGTGGATTTTGATGATCAAAGGTTCCTTGGGGAAGGATCTCTGTTGGTTTAGAAAATGGGGAGTTGAATTTGGCCAATGTATATTGCAATTTTAGTGTTTGGTCTATTTTTAACAAACAAACCGAATGAAAAAAAGGTTAAGAAGTAAGGATCGATGAACATTTATTAATCAAACAAGAGTTCTAGCATTTGTAGACGTCAGTGTCAATGTAGAAGATCTCAACTAATGGCGCCTAGAGTCCTTAATCATTTCATGCCTAAAATGACACCATATCTTCCCGGAGTTAATGTAAAAAAAGCTAAAGAACATATTTAGTTACCTAATTGAAGAGGTAGGCATCAACAAATACTCGGGTTACTAACAGGCTCATTGTTAGCAACAATCACTTTGAGATCCAGTCAGGGAGAGGGAACAGATTGATGTAGGGAACATCAACCAAACTTTGTGCGTTGCCTGAGTCGACTGTTACTACTAACAGGAGTTTACCCTCCAAAAAACCTTGTACCTACATGGTTTGAGGAGTCGATGCCCAACTTATTGCATTGGTAAAAGTTTCAGGCTCAACCATTTCTTCATTCTGAAGTTCCTCCACAATCTCGGTATTGCATCCTCTATTCCCTCCTACCCAAAGAGGTGTTTATATTAATGGTTCCTCACATACTTCTCATAACAGTTAAAACACAAGCCTTTTATGTGCCTATCTTCCATTTCAGTCCTGGTGAGCCGCTTCAGAAAAGGTCCCATGCTGTCATTTGAACCGAAGAAGAAGTAATAGTGACAGTAGTTTTATGTGAGACAACTTGCTCTACCTGATAGTGAATGATCACAATGCTTGGCGAATTCTCTTGTATTGATGAGCCAGACTCAGTGCAGAATTAAGTGGAAAGGATGTTGGAATTTCTTTTTTTTTTTTTAATTTTTTTTTGAAATAGGGAAGGATGTTGTAATTTCACCATGACAAAATTTGCATGCTACTCACAGAAATCTGAACTTCTTGCTCCTTGGTTAGAAAACTTGATTAAGTGGGCAATTGCCTGAATCTATGCTGATATTCATCCATAGTCCTAGTCTTTTGAAGCTTGGATAACTCTGCCAACTTGTTACTTTAGATTAGACGTCTAAACCTAAGGTTGCAGTGCTTTTTTAACTTTTTTTTTTTTTTTTTAAAAATAGCAGTGCTCTTTTAACTTATCCAGGACAAGTGTGGAAGGTCTCTCTCATCTGAGAAATCATAGTTAGCACCCAATTCTAAATGGAAAAAAAGCCAGAGAAACCTTTTCTTTCTTGTGGGTATGTTGATGGCAGAAAAAAGTTATCACAGTGGTTAAGCCACCCTATGGATTCAACAGTACCATCAAAACAAAGGAAATCTAATTCTTGGGGGTATACTTGGTTCCATCACCATCATCTGTAGTAGTATGGACATTCATCTGATCTCGGTTTCCAGTGCAGCACTTCCATCTGTAGCCTCAAAGGGAATGCCAAACAAAATCTTTAGTAACTTTATCCAAGTGTGCTGCCAAAGCCTGATGAGGAGCAGCTGAAGTGGCTTGGTCTTCCTGGTACATAAGCAAGAAAGAAAAAACTGCTAGTGAAAGGAGTGAAAATCATCCACAGTCCCTTGCTCTGATGCCACTTTGTCAGCTAAGGACCAGGTTATGGGTTTAGAGACAGGGTAATTTAGGAGGGATTAGAAGGGCTCATTAGGGAGAATGATCTTCGAACTGAGAAAGAAATCTCGACTATCATGACCAAATTCTGCTTGCTTTGTTTCTCGCAGGAAATTTTCATCATTATTTACAAAAACGACTTTCCACTAAGCAGATCTTTCCCCAACTTCCATAAATTAAAGAAAAACTAAAATAAAGTTGTGAAGGCCCAAACCCCTAACAAGGATTTCGAGCGTTTAACTTGGTCATAATAATAATATAATAATACTG